GCAATCTCAGAAGAAAAACGAAAAATTCTCTTCGCTAGATACGTTCGTGACCGTGCACGAGTGGCAGAAAGAAGCGAGCACAGAGGATGCGATCTCATCCAGCCGGCATGGCTGTCAAAATCCGACCACCGCTAGTCTGTCCTCGCAATAAAGATCTCGCGCAATCAGAGTGGACGAATCGTGTGCCTGTCGCAGGTTTATTCGTCGGAGGGAAGTCCACCAGGGAAAGTGTGCTTCTCGACGCGAGGGAAGTGGCAATATAAGCGGAACGAGGCGAGAACGATTGCAGGATAACAATGTCTGCAGGCAGACAGAGCGCAGGCATAAATGGACCAAGGTACGAGAGAAAGGAATATGTAAGACCGTAGGTTCTATTCGACGCGAATGAGTCAAAGACGAATTGGACAGCAGATTGCGCTGAACTCGAGTCATATTCAAGTATATATGTGATCAATAAAAAGGAGATACTGGAGCAGATCAGTTGCGAAGATTGCGTGTAATGTTTGTAAACTACGAAAATATATGTCTTCGCAATCGAAAATCAAATGTTTAATAAGAATCGTAATTCTTTGAATCGATCGTTCAGTAAAAATAAAGAAACTTCAGAATGAAATTGTAAATGATACACTAACCTAACTATAACCTAATCTGAATTTATCACACATAACCTAATTCTATATGAAAATGAAATTTATATTTATATAAATGCGGAATTTCACAAGTTCTAACTTAATTTATTATAAATGTTCATATTAATCCCAATTATCATAACATGAGAGTTACATCCATAAAACTTGCAATGATATTTCCTAGTAACGATGATTTCAAAAATTTGAACGTACATTCTGTGCGTAATATATTTAGATAAATCATCTGACATCGATACACAATTCCAATATCAATAGTGATTCTCTTGCCCAGAGTATTTTTATATTCTACATTCTAATTTCTCTAATGGCGAAAAAAAAAAAAAAATGCAAGAATCAACACGAAACGAAACGTTCAACAATTTTGATGGGCAATCGGTGCATTCATTTACTTCTGAAATACGTACCTTCGTGGGAATTCGACTGTGCGATGGTGCCGCCGATTTCACGTCGCCACGTGACTTTCGGCTTTGGGGTGCCAGTGGCGGCGCATCGTAACGTCACGTTGCTACCCTCTTGTACCTCCATGTCGGTGCTGGTGGAGTCGTCCAGGATATCCGGTGGTACTGAAACAATGACCACATTGCAACGATAGCAGCCCGCCTCCATCGTGTACAATTCGCGTACACCGGGCACGCTCGAACGCCACGCCATTCGGTTGAATAGATGGCTATCTGGACCCGATCTACCGATGTCTCGTTGCGTATTCGCAAATAATGCGCAACACCGCGATCGGTGTCGTCGCATCGACGCAGCCCGGTTGTAAAACCGACGAATCGTCCGGCTGATCGTGAATACGCTCGAACGGCGTTGCGTTACGTCGCGACGTGATCGGTTCACCGATCCGCGGCCCTATTCTGTGGCCACGCGATTAAGGTGCTGTCGATCACTCGGAACATTCCGTGAAATTTAGCTTCTGCGCTGCGAACGTCCCTCACCATCGTTCGTATATACGAATGACGTTAATGAATTTAAAGACGGACATTGTTTCATCTGTTAAAAGATTGTAACATACACACGTGTAGATATTTTTTACTCTCAAAGTATCTATAAATCAATATCAAAGAATCTATATATTACTTGAATTACTTTGATGAATTACTTAGACATTTTGTTTGGCCGAATGCCAAAGGTATGGAGTATTGCGAAACCGAATAAAAATGAGTTTGAGTGAATTTCGTTGATGTTTTATTTCTTTTTTTTTTTTTTTTTTTT